AACCTGTCCGCTCGCCTCGATCTCAAGACCATCGCTCTTCACGCCCGTAATGCCGAATACAACCCCAAGCGTTTCGCTGCCGTGATCATGCGTATTCGCGAGCCGAAGACGACGGCCTTGGTCTTTGCGAGTGGAAAGATGGTCGTAACCGGTGCCAAGTCTGAAGACGACAGCCGCCTTGCTTCCCGTAAATATGCGCGGATTATCCAGAAGCTCGGGTTCAGCGCTAAGTTCACCGTACGTCGCATCGGACTAAGTACGTATGATTCAATGCTAACGTCACCATAGGACTTCAAGATTCAGAACATCGTTGGCTCCTGCGACATTCGCTTCCCCATTCGTCTCGAGGGTCTTGCATCTCGCCATCACACTTTCTCTTCCTACGAGCCTGAGCTCTTCCCTGGTCTCATCTACCGTATGATGAAGCCGAGAATTGTCCTCTTGATCTTCGTATCTGGCAAGATTGTCCTCACTGGTGCCAAGGTCCGTGAGGAGATCTACCAGGCTTTCGAGCTCATCTACCCTGTCTTGTCGGACTTCCGCAAGTCATGAGCACTCTTTTCTCCCAGGATCCGGCCTCAAAGAGCCTTGACCACACACCTTCACTGGTGACATGGCTACGACTTGGACCTTTCCTTCTAACTTGTCATTTTTTGCGGCATTGCATGGTGTTACGGTGGGCGGCATTTCCTTTTCATGCCTTTTCAAAACTCCAAATTACCCTCGACACGATTAGACATCTGCACGCGGGGTGCCTTCAACCTCTCTTAATCCGGGTCACGAAGGCTTTTTACTCTCTTCTCTTTCCATTTACGGGTACGAACACGTCGGCGGGCGGCGTGAGGGGATGGTCCCAAAGATTGCTACAACGGGCGGAGGAAGGAACGCGAGGACGTTCGGACAGTGCGACCGTAAAAGCTCGCACCGGGAGCTCGAAAAGGTTGACGATACGACACCAGAGCTCTCATCGATGGAAGTGCTTCAAAGCATCCATCGTGTATGTGTACATGACCCTTGGCCTTGAAACAGGTTAGGCAGTAATGTTATCACGATCATAATAGTCTTCTCCACCCTCGTGATGTGATGTGACTGCATGTGATCATTGACTGCCCACCCGAGAAGTATGACCGTCGCTGCTGGATACCTATTTGCACCAGCGATACTATGCTTGGGTCATACTCCTACTTTGAACAAGCCATCTTGCTCCATGTTCTCCAGGTTAGAAGAGGTGCGGACTCATCTTGAACTGCTGGTCGTAATGGAAGTAGTAGATGAACCCAGCGACGGTCATATATAGCCTTCTGTTGTACGGCACGGGCGGCCATTGTCACTAATCAAGGCGGTGTCCAGAGCGAGCGCGCGCGAGAGTGTGCGAGAGTGTGCGATGATAAGGATGTGCTATGTGTTTCCTCCTGACTGGGTTCGACTTAGTGGTATGGGTGGTCGAAAGCACAAGAGTGGAGGCGCTGTGCGAAGTTTCGGGGTAGAAGAGGAGGTCCCTGACTGCGAAGTCGGTAGCCCGCTGCGGCGTCTGAACGTGGGTCGATGTAGCGCTTCAGTGGTCGAAGTGTTTGCTGGAAAGCGAAAAAGTGAACGCATGCGGGGCTGAACCTGGTGTTTACGGTGAAGGTGTAACTCGGGGCCGGGTTGAGCGAAATGGGAAGAGATCGGGGGCTTTGGTTGCGGAGCCAAGCTCTTCGATTGCCCCAGAGCTCGGACATTCTTTTGCAAGCCAGTGCTTAGGAAGTGAAATTCAATGGAGTGAATTACTTTCCTGCCTGTTCCTCTTTGTCCTGCGGCGCTCCATCACGTCTCAGCGCGTGATGCCTTCGGTCGGGTTTGTCGAAAAGGGCAAACGGTGTGCCGCGTAGCTCGAAAGCTTTGTGGAAGGGTATCGATTTAGCTCGTTCTGTGTGGTGTTTACGAGCGGTCCAGGTTTGGTCGAAGATTGACTACACGGTAGCCCGGGGACTACCGCAGTCCGAAATTGTGTTGTGGTGTATTCATAGGTAGTCTTGGTTCGAAGCCACAGGTTCGCGAAGTCATCCATATGATAGCTTCATCATCAGCCCTCCAGTAAACCTACCTTTCACCGTAGCTACTAAGCAAGACGATGCGATGAAGCAGGATATGACTGAGAATATGAAGAATGAAGAAATCAAGATGTGACGCTGGACTTGTGAAGAATCAGGAGACAAACGAAAAAAGGAATAAGAAACACTGTGCAACCAGCGCACGCCGGTTTGGGGCCGGACGCCTAACCTTCAGAAGCCCTTGCGAACGTGCATGGCCGTGAACGATAAGGGAAGGTTAGCGCTATACAGTACCTGGAAGAGTTGAACCACATTTTGGGCAGCAGAATGAAGATGTGATTAAGAAACTTGGTATAGACCTGATAACCTTGGCGGATAAAGCGTCAGGGAAGTACCAAGCTCCTGAGACATCCCGCGTTTCCATCGTGAAGTTTATTGAGTTCAGGCGTTAGAGGCGGCTTGCGTTGTTGCGTGTCTCAGCTAGTGAGCATAGACCGCTTGGTCAATCATGAGATCCTAGTCTTTGATGTTTCGAAACGTTTGTACAAGGAGGCGAGAGCCGACGTGCTGCCTCGTATAAGCAGGAGATTGAACAGGTGCGCTGAAGTTTGCATTAGTATTAGAACATATGTTTATAAAATTCGAAAGCAATGTTGCTTCAGGAGGCCTGTTTCGGGAGTCATACTTTGTCGAGGAGTCGGTGTTCAATTAATTCCTTGAAAGGGGTGGTGTGGTAATTCTCCGAGCGTCTATGCTACGTCACGGTCGAAGGTACCTAGGTATCGATGGAGGAACGGCGTTTCTGCGCTGGCTGGTGTATGGATGTAGAGGGGCACAGAGAAACGAAGAAAGTGCCAGAGTAAAAGACACAGGTCATGCGTACTGCTGTAAGTCAGTGGATTCATTTTCAAGAAAAGTTCCCTGGAATTTAGAGGGTAGTCGCTGATTGTGTGGGAAACGAGATGCAAACACGTGGGCCGTGCGTCATGCATGCCGTTTGCGTCAGTAGCATGGCGCGCCTTCCCTCCTTTCACCAGCAGCCACCATGAGCGCATAGCTGCATCCTCAGCGCATCCAGGCCATGTAGCCACACTTCACTTCTCTAGCTCTAATTTGTAATATCCTCAGACCGATGCCTACATTCCTTACGCCGAGCCCTTACGACCGCTGCCGCCATGCGCATTCCTCTCTTCCGCATCTGGTACTCGACCACGTACACCACCCTTCTCATAATCCTGCTCCTGCTCCTCGCCGTTACGCCCGCCGACACAATATACCAATCGATCAAATCCAAAGAGCTCCAGAAGCTATTTGTCATCGGAGGTGTCTACCTGTTGACCTGTCTGATTGTCCTGTTGATCTACTCGACGCGCATCTACACGAATAGGACTGTGCTTGCTGCGATACCCAAGAGCTATGTGCCAATAGAGGAAGGAGAGGTGGGCAAGGGTGTGCGATGGATGATTGTCAAGCACTTTAAGAGAAGCGCGGTCATTGCATGGGACAGCAGGCCGAGGGACGTTCGCGGCGAAGTCGACGTGGACGAAGAGAAGGGCGAGGAATCGCGACCAAACACCGCGGAGAGCAGAAGGGAGAAGCACAAGGCGAACAAGAAGAAAGGCCATCATCACCATCACCATGCGCCGGACGCGACAATCATCCCCGTGTCTGCGAACTCGCCGCCTTGGGGCAACGTCTCGCATCCAGGCTGGGCGTCACCTTCGTCGCCTGATCTGCCAAACCTCCAGTACTGGGGCGTCATCTGCGAACTACCGAACCTCATCGAAGCGAAAGCCGTCTCCCTCGCACCGCCAGACCCAGCCCTCGAAGAAAGCGCCCAACAATACCCCGACAACGCGCCGCCCCTCCCAGATGCGCGCATCGTCACCCTCCTCCAGCGCCCACGCGCAATGGGCCTCCGCGAATACCTCGCCCGCCTCGCAGAATTCGGGCTGCTCAATCCACCCTCTCTCGGTGCCACCTTCCTCGCGCAATACGAATACGCCCGCTTCTCCACCGCAAGCCTAACCGAGACACAATTCCGCGACACCATGGCCACTTTTGCAGAGATCCTGAACGGCATGACAGAAGTCGACCCGGGCGTTATCGAAGAAGCCCGCGCCCAGGACATTGAATCCGACACACGCAGTCTCGCGCCCACAGAATCAAGCTCTGAAACAAGCAGCTCCTCGCACTCCCAACTCCCCTACCGCACACCGCAACTCGAGCGCCAAGCTTCGCTGTCCTCTTTCAACAGCTCCCTATTATCAGCCGATAGTAATTCGACTACGCATTCCCCGCAAACCGTCCGCACTGCTCCGTCGCGCCAACAACAGCGCAGTTCCACCCTCTACGGTACACCGCGTACACCTTCGCAACGCTCGCATGCAGATTCAGGGTCAGAGACAGGCTCTGTCATAGTCCGTGAGAGGCCGCGCAGAAGTCCGAGTACTCTGTTGCCCAATTCGAGCGAAAGTTCGCTCGGAAGTGGAGGCAGTGTGATTCGCTTGCATCCTAACCCCAGTGAGGGGGATTTGCCGTACGAATATACTATTGATGCTGGGTGAAGGGTGGGGGAGGCGTGCTAGCAAGCACGTTGATATTCCAAATACATACCTGGGAGGGCTGAGTCAGATCCGCGGCAGCATGGGATTCGAGCGCAAGGCTCGAGATGCGAAGACGCGCGCGTGAAGAGGGAGAGGGAAGATACTATGACACAGGGCCATTCCCCTGTGTCGAGATGTAGACAGAGCAGGAGTGACGTTCCGAGTGAAAGCAGTGTTCGCAGTTGGGGCATCAAGAACTGACACACTTACTGCAGACATCACCCCAAACGAGCCGAGCATTGAAGAAGAAGAAGAAGGATAACCGAAAATTCTTGTATATATCATTCACAGTACATAACATTTTACCCATCATATCATCATGTAATCAACATACATTCAACCTAACCCTTACTTTACCATCCTACTCCGCAACCCAAACAGCAGCCATACCCATACCAGTACCCACACACATACTCGTAACACCCACACTCTTGCCCGTCCTCCTCAACTCCGTAAGCAGCGTACTAACCTGCCTCGCACCCGTAACACCAAGCGGATGCCCAAACGCAATCGCACCACCCTTAGGATTGACCTTCTTAACATCCAGCCCCAGCTCATTAATGCAGTAAAGACACTGACTAGCAAACGCCTCGTTAATCTCCCAGATATCCACATCCTGCTTATCGAGACCCGTCTTCTCGAGCACAACGGGGATAGCAGCAGCGGGGCCCACGCCCATCATGAGCGGCGGGACGCCGACGATGGAGGCTTGCACAAACTTTCCGATGATGGGTTGGTTGAGGCGCTGGGCGGTGCTGCGTTTCATGAGGAGCACGGCGGCGGCGCCGTCGGAGATTTGCGAGGCGTTGCCTGCGTGGATAGATCCGTCTTTTGAGAAGGCGGGGCGGATTTTACCGAGAGACTCGGCGGTTATGCCTTGTCGGACGCCGTCGTCCTTGGATACGGTGATGGTTTGTTCTTCTTGTGTCTTGGGGTCTGTCCATTTGACCTGGAGAGGTGCGATTTCCTCGTCGAACAGACCGTTCTTCTGGGCCTCGACGGCTTTCTGAAAGGAGGATGCGGCGAAGGCGTCTTGCTCGGAACGGGGGATGTTCTTTGCTTTCGCCATTTGCTCGGAGAGGACGCCCATGGGGACTTTGCAGTTCGCAGACTCCTTGTGCGACTCGAGGAGTTCGGAGAACTCAGAGACGGCGCCGGGACCGTACTGTGTGCTCATGCTTTCTGCGCCGGCGCCGATGCCGATTTCGATCATGCCGCTCTTGATGGCGTTGGCGATGTCGACGCAGGCTTGCAGGCCGGAGGAGCATTGTCGGTTCAGCGATTTGACGGCTGTTGTGGTTGGGAAGCCGGCGGCGAGGGCTGCGGCGCGGAATTCGGTTGCGCCGCCTCCTGGAGCGAGGACGGCGCCGACGGCGATGTCTTCGACGAGGTTGGGGTCGATGCCGGAGCGTTGGAGGAGTGCTTTGTAGGCGCCATGGAGGAGGTCCGAGGCTTGCGTGTCTTTGAAGCCGCCTTTTCCGCCCTTGGTGAAAGCGGTGCGGAGGGCGCAGGTTATGACAATCTGGGAGATGAGGTTAGTATGGTACTTCAATGACAGTAACGAGTCTTCAGCTGGAAGAACGTGGAGCTGATCGAACAGTTGCCGTCGCATCGCTCAGAGAAAAGATGTGCAACTCACGTCATCAGCCTTCTTCTCCAACAACCCCTTCTTTCCCTTGGAGCCCGCAGCCCCAGGACTCCCACTTCCACCCATGAGATGGCCCTCGACCTGCGTAAGGCGTTCTTGAACTGTACAACCGTCAGCAACCTGATCCATCATTCACCAACGCCACTTCCTCTACTCTCACCCAACATACCTTTGTTAGGAGCTTGGTTGGCCATATTGAGTACTGTCGTCGATATAGAAGCTGTGTAAAGGGAAAGCTGAAGAACAAGCTCCGACGTGAAGTATATGAAGCAGCACTACCGTTCGGTCGCGGCAAGCATTAGGTCATTCGCATGCGAATCGCCGAGGTACGTTACGCTTCTGGTTAGCGCATCTGTGGGGCGCGTCATCCGTTCCGGGGGAAGCTAGCTTTCACATGCTTCCAGGTGTCGACTTTGCGGGCGCTTTGGGGTGCTTCACATGTCAGTGTGGGAAGTTTGCTCGTCATGTGCGGTTTTACGGTGCTGGCCGTCGTGTTGCTGATGCTGACGGAAGATGCTTTGTTGTACGCAGCAGTGGATGTGTAGGTGTTGAGATGCAGACACGGCATTCGCGAGAGCAGCCATACTCAACAAATCACAATCTATAGTCTCCAGTAACCCAGACAAAGTGGAGTATCAGAATAATATGATAATAATCCATGCGGCCATGTGAAGCCGACGACCCCGAACGCCCTGCTCAAACACACCCATCTAATCATGACAACGTTCCTCTTCACCGCCTCGCCTCATCTTCCTTCCAAGGATTATTCATCATCTGCCTCTCCAACTCATCTACAATGCTCCCACGCTGGGTCTCCTCATAGCCTGGCGGCGGATCCGACGGTGGCTCGAAGCGCTCTTGTTGAGTCCGCGGGCTCGACAGCGGACTCGATGCTTGTGGACTGGACGGCACGGGAGCCGCAACGACAGGACCGCCTACGCCCGCTGCAGAGCCGTCCATCGGCGGACTAGGAAGCGGATCCGGTACTCGGGCATGTTGTCTGCTCTCCTCGTATGCCGGTAGGTCTTCCAGATGTACGTTGTTCATGTTCACGCCTCCAACGCCTCTGCTTCCATCTTCCACGTCACCGCCGCTCTCCCGAGCCACCTCGACAGCCTGCCGTAACCGCTCCTTTAACCGTTCGAATATGCTCGCAAAGTCGAACGCGCCGCCCTCTTTGAACTCCATGACGAGGTCGAGCTCGGCGTGCTGTGGTGGTATGCCGCCGCCTTGGACGGGCTGGATGATGGCTTCCCATTTGTTGGCGCCGAACCAGGGGGCTGTAACGCGGGAATCGGTTACGTTGAGAATGGGGACGGCGAAGGATTGGAGTTGGGGGGTTGGGGCGACAGGGAGGTAGATCATCTGGTGGTCACGTTAGTCGAATTCCACATGATGGAGATGGTATGTACGTACCCGTCGGTTTGTGAGGTATACGACGCCCGACTTGCATTGTTGTGAGTAGGACTCGCTCGGACTACGTTGGTGGCTAGTCTGCAACGAGAGGGTGGTTCGAGGAGGAGACTGGTATAGTGTCTGTTCGCCAGGCAGAGGAGTGTACCCGCCATTCTCAGCGAGCATAACCCAACTAGTTTTGCGGTCAGACTTCGACTTCTTCATCTTGTGTGTCTTGAACCCCATGCTGCTATGCCAAAGCGACTATGCCCAAAGCTTCTCGTTACAATCCGCGGGGTAGGAATGCGAGGGGCAACACAAGCACATACGACAAAGCCAGGACAGGACGTTCAGGCAGAGCGGGAAACGGAGCGAGAGAGAAAGAGGAGAGAAGATACTAACTTGACAGACATGCTTGGAAACCGCCTTGCAGCAGACTTGTTCACGGATAAAGCGTGAATAGTTCGCCCACTCCCCAACTGTCAATGCAAGCCAGCCTTCTTTACCGCGAATGCGCTAACTGTGCCTGCGCGTGAAGCGCCCGCCTTGATTGTATCGGCCCGACCGCCGACTGCCTATCAGATCTCGCGTTGCGGTTCCCGCGCAAATGCGAGTGATCGGTTTAGCGTGGTGCGGTGGAGACGAACGGTGGGGTGGCTACGGTCGAGAATTGTCGGCTGGGGCTGGTCTGCCGCGGCGAGCGCGGTTGTCGCGAGTGCAAATGTGTGCACTGCGGAGGGCGAGTTATGAACGCTGTATAGAGGGGCAGAGGTGAAGATATGTAGATGTATGTGTCGATATGCGTATGCAGCTCGGATGCGGTAGTTACGTGTTCCGAATGGGCTTTCGGACTGGTGCCTGCAGTATGTAGGTAATGCAGCTGATGATGATCCCGTGAGATGGGCTTGCGTCACTCGTTGAAAGTGGAACCCAGGCCTGGAAGCATGGCAAACGTAGCGCGATATTGGATCGAGTGCACGGCAGTCATGGGCAAACAACATGCACGTGTTTCATAGATATTGTTCCCACTTGGGTAGGGTATTCCATTCATAGCCGTAGCCCTCGCTGATCAAACGCCATAGTCCGCCGCTACAAATGCTAGTCACGAATCAATGAAACACAGTAATAACCCCAACAGCCCATTGCTGAATACCGAAGATACGGCTAGCCTGCCAAAACTCCACATCATTCGAGGGAAAACCTGGATACCCTGGAGCCTACGTTGACAATAGGTCACGTACTTTGCATGATTCCATCTTGATGTAGGCTCCCGAGTGCCTAGTGCTTTCCTTTCTGAACTACTCCTCCCTCTCCGTAACCGTCCATCGCCGCTTAGGCCCATGACTATGCTCGTAAACGTCGTCCAACTTTGGCGGTCCCCAGAGTCCGTTGTTGGCTTTTGGGGCTACCTTGGCGCCCCAGAGACCGCCAGCAGAAGTACTCGGAGCGCTCTGTTTGCGGGTCTGGGCACTAACGAGAGGAGTGGGTTTATCGTTGACTTCTCGCTCTTCTTTCGAATCGAGTTTTGTCAAGCGGTTGCTCACATCAGACGCGCCATCCAAGTGTGCGATAGAGTTGCTCTTAGATTTAGAGGCAGCTGCGGCAGCGGAAGTCGACTTCGGCGGCGGTGGATGCTGGTTTGAGAAGTTGAGGACCATGTCGGCTTCTGTGGCGGGTGTGCTTGCGCCTGACCACAATCCGCCTGATGGAGATGCAGCACCGCTTGTCGCACTCTGCGCAAACCTCGAGTTGGATCCCGAGCTCATCGTCCGTCGCACACCGCCTAGTGAGCTGTTCCAGTTCCTGTACGGCTCGCCGAGTGAGAAGGGGGAATCAAGTGGACTGCTAGTCGTTGATGATCCTGTGAACCTTCGTCGATACTCCAAGGATGGGCTCGCTGTGATGGCTGGGCTGTTTGTTTGTGTCTGTGCAGATGGCGGTTTTGAAGGGTCGACGCCAGGCCGCAGATGGTCGACTGAAGCTGAGAGCTTTATATCGTAGGTATCTGACATGCCGGGGTCTGCTACGGAAAGTCTTCGTGTGTGTATTGTGGCAGGTGCGGATGTCTGCCTAGGTTCGTCTCTCCGGACTGCCATGGACAGCGACGCCAGACCTATATCCATCAAGACAGGCTGGTTCGTCATAGCACCGAGCAGCGCATTGCATCCTGCTCCATGAGTGATCAGAATCAGAACCAGCTCTTCCTCCTCGTCCGCGGTAGGATCATCGCTGAAGTTGGGGAAGGGGTCGGACTTTGTGTGCGACATAGGCGGTGGCGTCAAGCGCAGCGGTTCCTTAAACATGAAGCCAGGGAACTGATCCTTTGGAGGCGCTGTGCCGTGGACCCTATACCACTCCATCATGCCGGCAAGACCTCTCCTGAAGCGCTTGTGCATTGTGCTCCATTCGTCGCCGTACTCGCCGCCGTCGCCCCAGTTCTGTGGTGCACGCATGCTGTCCCATTGGAAGTCTACTTTGACGCAGGCTTCTTGGGCGTGCGCGACGTAGCCTCGTGGTATCGGGTCGGCGGGCGAGACGGAGTAGGAGGGGTGCGGCGGTTCGTAGACGCGGTTGGGTATCGCGGTCGGCTTGGGTGTCTGAGTTGGCATCGCCAGTGGTGCAGTTGCTTCTTTCGATGGTGTTCGTTCCAGGCCCAGTGGGCCGGCGTAACTGCTGGAGCGCTCTCGAAGCGGCGCAAACTGAGCCAGACTGCTCATAGCAGTGCCAGCTCCTCTACCGCCATTCGGTGTGCTAGTCCCCGACTTGTTCCCCATCCAACCTCCTGGGAAGTGACCCTTGCTGCTGTTCGGGTTTGGTTGTTCTTGTATGTAGTCGCCCCTCCGCAGCAGATCAGCTTTGGCGCCTGCCACCATCATGGTTGAGTTTGGCGGGGCCGTGATGTCGGCGTAGTATTCGGGAGACAGCCATTCGCCCAGAAACGCGTCGATGCGCAGGAGCACCCTCTCAGGGCCTGTATGGGGTCGCGGCAGTATCTCGAGGTTGGGGTCGGCGAGCGGCTCGAAGGTTCGGGGCTGCGACGAGGTTGACTTGGTGCGCGGCGCTTTCGGCGAAGGGACTCCCAGCGAGCCATTGGTGTCTTTGGAGGGGGGTGTCGGCACATTGAGCTGGGGCGTGGTAGGCGAGTGGTATTGTGAGATGCCGGCTGCGACCGCTGTGCTGGTCTGGACGCATCGCAGGAAGGGACTCGAGTGTATGATGATCTTGCGCTTCTTCTTGGGCCGCCCTTGCGCCTTGCCGTCCTTGGAGATGCTCAGCTTGCTGAAGTCGAGATGGGCGGGGTCGTTGGTGGTCGCGTTCTTCGCGTCTTCTGCCTGTTGGATGTCACGCTCGTGGAGGAGAGCGGCTATGCGCTGGCCGAGGGCCTTTGCCTGGGACCAGCCGCCGTACGTGAGGGGCGGATCATACGGCGTGGGTGAGGAAAGATGCCATGACTTGTCGGCAGCGTCGAGTCGGGCGCCGTGTCTGCGTGGAAGTTAGCTACAGAAGCGGAATGTGGAGCCGTGAAGGCTGGGTGAGACGGTACCTGGCGACGACTACGACTGCAGGACCCTTCGCCATGCCCCGCTAGAGATGCTTCGCGTGCGTCTGGCGTGCAGCTGTGCGACGGTCGTGTATGCAATGCGCCTCCAATACGAACAAGCAAGTCGGTGGAGAGAGCGATTGTAGAGGCTTGAAAAGAAAACAAGGTGACAGCTGCGCGGCGTCAAGTGATGCTGCAGACGCTCCAGGGTTCACTATAACTTTGCGACCCTGCAGACGCTATGACACCATCGTCTCTCGCGCTGACAGCTGGAGCGGGCGCTCGAGAGGGGTTGGTCTGGTGTTAGGCTGTTTGTGCTCGACGCCACGCTGCCGCCTGGTGTTTCACTGCTGCATGCAGGTGTCGACTTCTTTCTCTACTTTCGCGCACGTGTTGGCTACAAGAGAACGCGTAGGTCAAAACAACAAAAACTTTGTCTCGCCTTCGCATATGTCATCTTGGTCCGGCGGCGGACTTAAGACGCCGGTGGGGCCGGGAAGAGCCCTGACAGCCCTGGAGCACGCCATCAATTTGCATGTGATCTTGATTCGACTAAACACGCCTACTCCAGATAATCTCCCTGCGTCTCCTTGTGTATAACGTCGAACAGCGGTTTCGCACTGAACCACCCAGCCAGCGAGCTTCCAATCGTCTTGTGTGTGTAGACCGCGTCCTCCTCTGTAATCTTCACCGTCTCGCCACCCCGCCCAACCGCCGCTGCATCCGCCATCAGCTGCGATTGACAGCACTTCTCCATGCTAATGAACCAGAATACTGCCTCCTCTACGCTCTTGCCCACAGTCAGCAGGCCGTGGTTCTGAAGCAACGCAGCTTTCTTGTCGCCTAGACACTTTGCAATGTTCTTGCCCTCTTCCTCGGCCAGTACCACACCGTTGAACGACTCGTAGATGACGTGGTCGTTGTGGAAGGCACATGAGTCCTGCGTTATGGTGTCGAGTTTGCGACCAAGTGCGCAGAATGTGCGACCGTAAATCGAATGCGAGTGTGCTGCGGCGACAACATCGGGGCGGGCAGAATGGACAGCGTGATGGATCATATAAGCTGCCGTGTTCAACAGTCGGCACTCGCCACCATCGATGACCTCGCCCTTTGCATTGACGAGAATGAGGTCCGAGGATTTGATGAGGCTGAAGGCGACACCAAACGGATTGACCCAGAAGGTCGTAGGGTCCACAGGATCCTAAAGCAATCAGTATACTGCGCACAACATGTGCTACACGACTTACCCTCAGCGTGATATGGCCAGCCACTCCCTCATCAAACCCGTACTTTCCAAAGATGCGGAAAGCAGCTGCCAGTCGGCCCTTCAGGTACGCCCGCTCCTTGTACGGATCGTCAAACTTTGGTGGCTTGGGAAACTTCAGCATCTCGATCTTTCCATCTTTCTGGTTCAGACCAGGCTCGTTCGGTGCCACCGTGTTCGCTCTGGTCTCGTCGCCTGCTTGAGGCTCGATTGCTGACGGTGGAGACATATTGTATTCTTAGATATAGTCGGGTAGATCTGATAGGTAAAGAAGAGCTCCAAACGAAGACGAAGTAGCACGAGTATCGAAACAGCAGTAGAAAGAGCCCTCCGTTACAACGTGCGGCAATAAACAGAAGTCGCGACGGACCAACCTTGGGAACCGCCACCCCTCCTACAAAGGCAACCACGACCTCGGTCACTACCTCGGAACTACAGACG